AAGTTGAATTGTGAGCTGAGGTATGGGGTTGGTTTTCATCTCCTCCTTCTGCATGATCAACAGGAGGGAATATGGTTGGGACCTGAGGTGGAAGCTGAGGTTGGATTTGAGGTGGGATCAGAGGTGGAAGGTTGTTGAGTGGTTGACCTTGCCTATAAGGCAGAGATGAATTACCAACTCGGACTGATCGAGTGTGAACCATGATGAAAGAGCAACTAGAAAGCTTTTAGTTCGATTCCCACAGACGGCGCCAATGTAATTGCACCAAACTAGAAGTCCTTCTTCAGTCCGCGCTTCCACTCCGAGATGACCTGCAAAGCCCCGAGGTGGAACTCAAGGTAGACACTCCGATGCTTAAGTCAGCAATAATCGAGGCTACCTTTAGGGCGGAGATGAAAAGAGCTTAGGGTTGGTTTCAATTACCTTTCTGAGGTGGCCCCTAGGGGTATTTATAGGCCTTTGTGAGGTATCCACGTGGCTTGCTTAGTAGGACAATCGAAGCCTGACGTGTCTATCCAGACGATTATTTCGAGACCGGGAATTTGAGAGGTATTCAGATGCACGGATGTCCACCATACTTATTGTGCCACTTGTCATAAGGAATTAGGTGCGGGCATGCTTATTGTCATTGTCATGCAGCTATTTGAGCAAGGAGCTTTGGATTCACTTCTCACTTCGGTCATAAAGGAATTACTGTAGCAGTCCGAGGCTTGGCACCTCGGACCTGTCCTTACAACGCTGGTGAGAGTTTTCTCTTTTATGAGGTCCAACACGACTCGATTTTAAATTAATCAAGACCCAATTTGACTTTTGAATAATGAGAAGTTAATAAAAAGAAAAAAAGAAAAAACATTAGAAGGGTACTACTGATGATAATGATGAAAACTTGAATATTTGGCTCAAATGGAAAACTTTATACATACTTAACCAAATCTTCAATCTTCAAATTTTAAGGAACAATCATGAACTTAAAGGCCATGAATTTTAGAAACTAAGAGGGAGGATAAAGGAGGACTAAAAAGAAAGAAGAAAATGAAGTGGGCAAAAAGTTTGGCTTATCTACATAGAGCGTCGGAGCATTAGGTAGTACGTTATTGATA